CTGCGAGTGGTAATGTCTGAAGATCTTACTGTCAAGGATCACAACAGTACCACGATCACAAGTGCAAAGAAAACTATAGGATGGATAATGAGAACGTTCAAAAGGAGAGATGCCAAGCCAATGATGATCCTTTTCAAATCACTTGTTCTCTCTAGGCTGGAATACTGCTGTACATTAACATCTCCGTTCAAAGCAGGTGAAATTGCAGATCTAGAGAGTGTCCAGAGAACCTTTACTGCACGTATAAGTTCTGTCAAGCACCTTAACTACTGGGAACGCTTGGAAGAACTTGACTTGTACTCGTTGGAACGCAGGAAGGAGAGATATATCATAATCTACACTTGGAAAATCCCAGAAGGAATAGTCCCGAATCTGCACACAGAAATCACTCCCTACGAAAGTAAGACTGGGCAGGCGATGCAAAATACCCCCAATTAAAAGTAGGGGCGCCATTGGTACGCTAAGAGAAAACACCACAAGTATCCGGGGCCCAAGACTGTTCAACAGCTACCCACCAAGCATAAGGGGAATTACCGATAAACCCCTGGCTGCCTTCAAGAGAGCTGGACAGATACCTAAAGTCAGTGCCGGATCAGCCGGGCTGTGGTTCGTACGTTGGACTGCGTGCGGCCAGCAGTAACAGCCTGGTTGGTCAGGCCGCGGGGGCGTTGATCCCTGGAATAACCTCCAGGTAGACTCCAGGGTCTAATGACCCACAGCCGGAGCTTTAGGTCATCTGACCGAGGACTTCTGCTGGCTTACCGGTCCACCATTTTAAAAATTATGGTTATAATTATAACCCTTAAGTTTCATATTGCTTCAAGAAACACCGTACATAATGGTTGTCAGAAACTGGAATGAACTTTGTCAAGTTTCATAAAATAAAGTTTTAAGAAACGGCAGAACAAAGCTCTGGAGGCTAGGAGTGAGTGAATCCTCTCACTAACAGTTCAACAGCGGGGCCAGCAGCCCAGACTAGGCCTCCGCTACCCAAAAAATGCAAATACCAGCATGAAGTACAAATTCGTGGAAGACGAGAGCACTCCAGTTCACTGGACCAAGAGCCCTTCAGCAGCCTCAAGGCACTTTCTTTGACGGGTTAGGAAGCTACTGGAATTCAGGGACCTGTGAGTGCGCACGAAGTGATCACTCACAAGAGTTAAGAGTTGCTTGTGAGTGGCAGCAGGAGCCAGGCCCTAGGAGGGCAAAGAGGTTAGATCAATAATTTTGGCAACGCAATACGTAAACACAACTGTGCAAGGAATGCTGTGAAGGGTCTGTCAAGTGTCAGAGTGATTAAAACAAACAATAAAATGATTTATGGTTTACTGATTTAGAACACAAGACAAGACCAGAAAAAAAAGAAGAGAGGTGTAAGAAAAAGGCAAACGCGTGGATGGGAGAGAGAGAGAAAGAGAAACTGCATGGAAAACACTAGGGAAAAAATCCCAGGGGATAAACGATGCAAATGGGGGAGTGAGGGGACGGTGGAAATGTCTAGAAAGTCGATGAAAGTTACTGAACTTCACCTGGATCAGAGAGAGAGGAAGATCAAACTGGAAGAGAATTTGATCACACTGAGGAAAGAATCAGCAAACGTGAAGAAGAGGCTGTAAACAGGATAATGGTAGAGGAAGCTACTGATGCATGCAGAAAGAAGTAGAGGCGTTGGAAGAACCGAAGTGTAGGGTTATAACAGGAGAGAGAGAGAGAGACAAACAAACGGAGTGGTACAGAGTTTTGCTGACTTAAGGACGATGGCGCAATAAAAGCGGCGATAATGGAGATGAGGGATATTGTAATATTACATTTTAAGGTGTACAACACCAAGTGTAAACCTAGCCAGCACTACTTGCTTGATGAAAACGTGAAGAGGAACACACAACCTCAACAATGTCATTTGATCTAACAGAACAGAATAAGATAACTGGAAAAGTGAGACAGGAAGACAATAAACTCAAGATAACAAACACGTAAAGTGGTAAATTTTAAGAGCAGATCATCAAGCAGCGAGAAATACAACCCTCAAACTCTTATTCCAAAACATTTCCACTTGAGTCTTCAAAAGTTGTTGGAATACAAAAATGTCTTTCTAGGAAAACGATAAAACCAATTTATACCCCTCAAGGCTGCGTCCATTATGGTATGAGGTTCCTGGTCGGAGGAACTGGACCAATCCTTTCCTTGGAACGATCTTGATTCCCTCCCATTATCACAGTTATTACTGCAGAAGTTAAGTTCTAGAAACTGGAAATACAAGTGGTGTTCTCACACTACCGGTAAGACAGCAATTGAACGAATGATAGTGAATGTGCTTCCTTCTTTGGGTCCTGGGTTCGAATCCCGGAAGAACTACTAGAAAAAAAAAATATGGAAACTGTAGGGCAGTGGTGAGAGGCGCGACTCTCACCGCTGGTGTCCGGAGTACGAGAACCAGACGAACTCCTTAAAAAAAAAAAAAAAAAAAAAATAATGGTGGGAAAGATTCTAATAATAATCCCGAGATGATACGTTTATCTTCATCCTCAAGGTTTAAAGCATCTTGCTGCCGGTCATAATACTTGCCTTCCCTGGAGTGTGTCCACAGTGTCCGGAGCCTCGTAGCAATTTTCTACTTTTGACACCCATGCCAGAGTGTTAAGGTTTAGGCCACGGAAGAGTTCACTGGATAGTGCCATTCATCTTGTAAGTGAACATACCACCGTAGACAGTACTGGGCAGTGCCACTCATCCTGTGAGTGAACATACCACGGCACAATATTGAACAGTGCCCACTTATACTGAATGAACATAACACCATACAGTGTTGGACAGTGCCACTCATCCCGAGTGAACACAACACCATAATGACAACATTTCAGCCACAATATCTGTAATCAGCAACATAAACTCCATCACTGACTTATTAATTAAGCATTACCAACTTCATAACACAATATTATCTAATTTCAGCAAATCGGCGAGCAGAGGAAAAGAAAAGAAGGATTCTGGGCATAAATCAGGAATGGAAGAGACTCAGGGCACTGACAGCAGAGGTCGACACTAGCGTGTCCCCGGTGCTGTGGATCCATGTGCATGTGGCACTCTGCCAGCCACTGCCAGGCACTCCCTCTCCAGCTCCCACCCACCTACCTACCTACCCAACTACCCACCTGTCCCACCTCCCAACTACATCCTTTGCCCTCTAATCTAAACCTGTCGCCCATTACGTATCAATATTGACAGTGACTCTAAATGCCTGTTTTAGGGAGCCTTTCACAGTGACACATGTAAACACACTCCACTCAACCATAGTCACACCAGTGGAGTGGGTGTTCAAGGCGGTGTGGTCCGTGTTGTGAGGTGGGTGGGGGGGGTGCAGGGTGGTAAATACTGTGGGGTGTACGTTTATATTTATAATTATCATTATTAAACACCGTTGAATTACATGGCTAGGAAATGTTATCTTGCGTCAGCTTGTTGCAAAGGCCAGTCCTACGGTACACTACCTCCTGCCAGTTATCATGGAGCATTAAGTCCCAAGTTCTGAGTACAGATTTCCACTTCACTGTTTCAGTGATAGTTTCAAACTCAGTTTAAGCAAGTTTCTTGACTATGAATGTCATGCTTTAAAAGTCCAAGTTGCTGGCTCTGTTTATTCAGCAACCATCATTCTGCCGAAAACGTAAGTTTATTTGCTTTATTATACAGCCCACGACGTCGAGCCTGTAAGTGATAGTCAAAAGATTAGAGGCACCTAACAGGTTCAGAGACTGGACCTAATGGATCCAGGACTGGCATCGGGCTCTATAATAGAGCAATCAACCTAACATTTTTGGGCAGAATGATCGCTGCTAAATAAGCAGATCCAGCAAATTAGAGTTTCAAAGTTTGACATTCATGGTCTAGAAAGTTGCTTAAAGTGAATTTGAAACTGTCACTGAAATTAGACTTAATTACAGCAATATGAATTATTGACAAGATTACACCAAAAAAACCGTCGCGCATATGTATATTTCATTTATGTTAATAAATACTAAATAAATTTATGCCGACCTTTGTCTAAGACTACGCTATATTACATAGATTTAGCAAGGCTGGGTCAGTCATAAGGTAATTTAAAATAGTGGAAAATAAAGAGCATGTCATACCATGGCGATTTACGCGAATATATGTATTACTAACACAGTTATTAAACTGGAACTAAATGGCGTAATGCAGGCGATAATATCACCGTCAACAGATATCATCATGTTAGCATGATCAAACATGATGATGTCACCATCGCCAAATATAGTGTTTGTACGATCAAACTTCATATTATAATAAAGGGGAAACGATAAATCCATATTACAATCACAACTAAACGCTAAACCCAGTAGGGTCATCCAGCGCTGATCAACCTATAGGCGTAACATCCCCCCAATGAAAAGCAGGGGTGTCACTAGCACGTTAAGAGACCATACAATAAGTGTCAGGGGCCCGAGACTGTTCAACTGCCTCCCAGCACACATAAGGGGGATTACCAACAGACCCCTGGCAGTCTTCAAGCTGGCACTGGACAAGCACCTAAAGTCAGTTCCAGATCAGCCGGGCTGTGGCTCGTACGTTGGTTTGCGTGCAGCCAGCAGCAACAGCCTGGTTGATCAGGCTCTGATCCACCAGGAGGCCTGGTCACAGACCGGGCCGCGGGGGCGTTGACCCCCGGAACTCTCTCCAGGTAAACTCCAGGTAATACCTACGGAATGTGAGGCAATCACGTTCGATCCAGCTACCAATGAAAATGAACAGAATCACCCCCTAAAGGTCGAAACTACTCCGTGAAGGACTCGAAATCACGTCCTAAAGAAGGAAAATACGGGGATACAGGTCAACATTCTCTCTTTTTTTTTTAACTTTTATAGCAATGATTTTTGGAAAAGGTTAATATTTACTTGCAAAATTTACTCTACTTGCCCTGTTTGATGGTCACATGTTAACACACTTACCTTCATCAAGCAGGCCGGCAAATTTCAACTTACCTTTTTAAGAAGATGTGCATGACTTGTCCTCGAGTGTAGCTCATTGATCCACCTCTCAATATCATTGCTCACTTGGTGGAATGATCTGAAAGTGAAATAGATTTTTAAGTACTTATTTACCATATTACAGCTCCTCCAAAATCCAAGCAGACGGTGAAGGTAAAGAGTACTGATAAACTGCCAGGGGAAACTCCCCAGGGAAATTTTCCCCAGGAAATGGCTGCTCCACAGATTTTTCCCTGAAAATGGAACCCTTATAGGGTGCGAACTGTCAAGGACAAAGTTGCGAGGGGCGAATGACCATATTTCTAGAATGCACAACTAGAACACAATGCATTGCCATCTAAGTTATATAGGGAGAGACTGTGCAGGATCATGTACGCGAGTTGCCTATAACAGCAGCATCCCGGGGATGTGACCCTGGTAAGCATATAGCAAAGATCGATGCTGTCAAGCTGGTGGATGTAGTTCTCTGGCTGTCATGCCAAGGGTCTGACAGACACCATATTCTTGAACTGTAGGATTTTCATACACTACCTTATTATCGTAATCATAACTAAGCGCTAAATCTACAAAGGTCATACAGTTGTGTTCCAGGGAAGCACAAGCACAGGCATCGCAACTGCATTAGCATAAGACGAGATGACCTGGGCAACTACAATGGTTTTCAGAGCAAATTAATGCGTTGCAATACACGTGCGCTCTCTTGGAGCACAGCGCAGCACCTTCGACGAAAGAATTAAGATATTCTTGACTAGCAGTGCACGTGTAAAATGCATTATTAACGAGCCTCATGCAGCCGATTTGCTTTAAACCTTTAGTGCCTTATAAGCGATTTCATTCATATATAAGGAGAAAAGACTGGGACATTAGGGAAGAACCTGACAAACAAGATTAAATGTGATAATTTAAGCCATTTATTAACTCAACAGTGAATGAGGACATCAACCTGAGGACAACCCATCCTCACGTACCATATTTTCCTTACGACGTTCTCAGAGTATTTTTAACGTTTCCTCTAAATTAAAAACTTTATTTTCTACTTTTTAAGTTGGGTTAGACTTGGATTCAAAATCCTATAAAAACATTCAACAATAAAAATATTAAAAATACAGCCGTGATATGTCTGGCAACGAGGTGGCCAAGAGTAACCAGGAAACATTCAGATATGTACGATCATCACTAAGGAGACCAGAATCATTATTATTAAGACGTTGGCTACCCTTTTATTTGTTACTGTTTGTTAACTATACGTAAAAACAAGATTAATTTACGTTAGCCTAACTTAGAATATTAAATTTCTGTTAAGACTTTGAACAAACAGAAATCACTGAACAGCAGAGTGCGAAAACTCCCGCATTAAAGGGCTCAAAGCTCTCTTAAAATATTACAAGTACTATTATTGCAACGTAAAATATTACAAGTACTATTATTGTAACGTAAAATATTACAAGTACTATTATTGCAAGTATCTGAAGGTCAGGTTGGACGGTGGGAAGAGACGAGACTCTGGGAAGACTAAAAACATAACTGAGTTCCCAATGACAAGTTCTCTAACCCACTTGATTCTAAATACATGTGTGAAGGATAGATGGATAGATCAGTCGTCAGGTGATCATGATCATAGACGACGAGGAAGCAATGTAAGTAATATAAACATAAGGTATTACACAGTTACAGAATATGCAAATGATACACGGAGATACGTATGATATATGGAGTAAACCAAGAGGTTGCCAAAACTCGTTTGATAAAAACTGTTTTATTATACAAAATTGGATACATCTGCAGTGTGCTGCTACACTACTATATACAGGAGGGTCCTGCTTTACAGTGCTTCGCTTTACAGTGCTTCGCTTTACAGTGCTTCGCTTTACAGTGCTTCGCTTTACAGCGCTTCGCTTTACAGCGCTTCGCTTTACAGTGCTTCGCTTTACAGCGCTTCGCTTTACAGCGCTTCGCTTTACAGCGCTTCGCTTTACAGCGCTTCGCTTTACAGCGCTTCGCTTTACAGCGCTTCGCTTTACAGCGCTTCGCTTTACAGCGCTTCGCTTTACAGCGCTTTGCTTTACAGCGCTTCGCTTTACAGCGCTTCGCTTTACAGCGCTTTGCTTTACAGCGCTTCGCTTTACAGCGCTTCGCTTTACAGCGCTTCGCTTTACAGCATTTCGCTAATGCAGCGGTTTGCAATTATACCCATTCATCATTTTATCAGACTTCCTATAATAAATATATTCACCACTCACTACAACAGACATAGCCCCACTCCACAAAGGGGGCAGTAAAGCAACAGCAAAGAACTACAGACTGATAGCACTAACATCCCATATCATAAAAATCTTTGAAAGGGTCCTAAGAAGCAATATCACCACCCATCTAGAAACCCATCAGTTACACAGCCCAGGGCAACATGGGTTTAGAACAGGTCGCTCCTGTCTGTCTCAACTATTGGATCACTACGACAAGGTCTTACATGCACTAGAAGACAAAAAGAATGCAGATGTAATATATACAGACTTTGCAAAAGCCTTCGACAAGTGTGACCATGGCGTAATAGCGCACAAAATGCGTGCTAAAGGAATAACAGGAAAAGTCGATCGATGGATCTATAATTTCCTCACTAACAGAACACAAAGAGTAGTAGTCAACAGAGTAAAGTCCGAGGCAGCTACGGTGAAAAGCTCTGTTCCACAAGGCACAGTACTCGCTCCCATCTTGTTCCTCATCCTCGTATCTGACAGACAACGATGTCAGCCACAGTACCGTGTCTTCCTTTGCAGATGACACCCGAATCTGCATGACAGTGTCTTCCATTGCAGACACTACAAGGCTCCAGGCGGACATCAACCAAATCTTTCAGTGGGCTGCAGAAAACAATATGAAGTTCAACGATGAGGGAATTAAATCTTCATCAGAGTACAAAACAAATTCTGGCCACAAAATAGAGCGAAACACCAACGTCAAAGACCTGGGAGTGATCATGTCGGAGGTTCTCACCTTCAAGGACCATAACATTGTATCAATCGCATCTGCTAGAAAAATGACAGGATGGATAATGAGAACCTTCAAAACTAGGGAGGCCAAGCCCATGATGACACTCTTCATGTCACTTGTTCTATCTAGGCTGGAATATTGCTGCACACTAACAGCACCTTTCAAGGCAGGTGAAATTGCTGACCTAGAAAATGTACCAGAGAACCTTCACGGCGCGCATAATGGAGATAAAACACCTCAATTACTGGGAGCGCTTGAGGTTCCTGAACCTGTATTCCCTGGAACGCAGGCGAGAGAGATACATGATTATATACACCTGGAAAATCCTAGAGGGACTAGTACCGAACTTGCACACGAAAATCACTCACTACGAAAGCAAAAGACTTAGCAGACGATGTAACATCCCCCAATGAAAAGCAGAGGTGTCACTAGCACGTTAAGAGACCATACAATAAGTGTCAGGGGCCCGAGACTGTTCAACTGCCTCCCAGCATACATAAGGGGGATTACCAACAGACCCCTGGCAGTCTTCAAGCTGGCACTGGACAAGCACCTAAAGTCGGTTCCTGACCAGCCGGGCTGTGGCTCGTACGTTGGTTTGCGTGCAGCCAGCAGCAACAGCCTGGTTGATCAGGCTCTGATCCACCAGGAGGCCTGGTCACAGACCGGGCCGCGGGGGCGTTGACCCCCGGAACTCTCTCCCGGTAAACTCCAGGTAAACTAGAAGCTAAGGACCAAAATATTTTAAGTAATGTGTGTACTGTATATGAATTTTTTTAGGCCTAGCTCTATTGCTTTACATTAATAAAAATAATATATGATATATATATATACGATAGTGTAAACATGTTATCAGGCTTTAATATGTATTTCAAAGTGAAAAAAAAGTTATGCTTCACTTTACAGCGATTTTCTGCTTTACAACAATGGCCCGGAACTTAACCTGCTGTATCAGCGGGGCCCCCTGTATGACAGTTATATAGTGGGAAAAAATCTGTTTTTCTCTCATGGAAGTGGAGAAGTGGACCGACAGCAACTGCAGCACCACTTAAGAGGGAAGCAGATGTTGGTGCCTGAGAAGTGATGAAATTATATTCATATGGAACGCTAAACCCGAAGAGGTTATACAGGGCCTAGGGGGAAAATGGAACGAAATTAGATTCACTCCCAGGAAGAGAAGAGACACTCCACTTACCTGGATCACGAGCACTTGACCCACATCAAGGCATTTCTTTGATGAGGTCAGGAGACTTGAGGGTGAACACAACCACATCAAGGACACGCAACAACCACACCAACGACAGGCAACACAACCACACCAACGACACGCAACACAACCACACCAACGACACAACCACACCAACGACACGCAACACAACCACACCAACGACACAACCACACCAACGACACGCAACACAACCACACCAACGACACGCAACACAACCACACCAACGACACGCAACACAACCACACCAACGACACACAACACAACCACATCAAGGATATCAGCTGTGTATGAAACTACCTAATGAAAGATCTTTAAAGATCTCACGGAATTATTTTAAGGATAATATACAAGATTTATGCTAGACCAGTGTTGAGAACATTCAGTTGAACTTGCCACCCATATCTGAAAGACGCTATGAAACTTGAGAAGGTCCAAAGACTTGCAACCAGACTTGTTCTCGAGATAAACGCCTTAAGCTATTAGCACAGCTTTAAATAGACGTAATTTCACAATACTGGATAAACCAAGGCTGGTCTTCAGAGCTACAAGACTAAGTACAATGAAAGGCTAAGATATGCCATAACTCACGTCACAGGAAGATAAAAAGACTTGATGACAAGATCATAATGTACAAGATACTCCAGAGCACTGTCAAGGTAGAGTTCCACCTGGAAGTGGCTAGAACCAACACACGTGGAAGGATGAAAGTTAAACTTACAAATGAGCAGAAAGAACATCAGGAATATTGTCGCTGCTTGAAAGGAGAGTAAGGAAATGAAAGTCAACTTAGAGAGGTGGAGGAGGCAGACTCCGTAGCCGGGCTCACAAGTAACTGACATCCTCAGTATTATATGTATGGGGAAGCACTAAACTTATAAGGGGTAATACAGGAGGGGGTACAGATCCTAAGATGCGAGAAAAATACATTACTCGATCGTAAATCAAGAGGCGAAGCCTCGAAGATGTATACACAACGAGGCAAGTATACAAGTGGGTACACAGACACGAGCGCACACGCGCATATGCACCCTCCCTCCACCACGCACACGCACATACGTACGTGTACACACATACACACACACACAAGAAAGCTCTTGGAGGAGGGAGAGTGGACCTAGTAGCGACCAGCAAAGAGGCAGGGCCAGGAACTGTGACTTGGTCTCTGCAGCCACAAATGGGCGAGTACACACAAACATAGGACTGAATTATAAATACCTTGTGGAATTAAACATTATGGAAAGAACAACAGTTGGGAAAGAGGGAAAAACAACAGATTTCAGAAGAGTAAACTTCTAAAGAATGAATTACTGAATGGGGAAAAAAACTGGAAGGACAGTCAAGGATTGAGATGGAATACCTAACTGGAAAGTACAAAGGAGAAATTCATACCCAGAAGAAATGAAAATGACAAACAGTGAGGTCAAGAGTCAACCAAAGATGGAGAGGGGAAAAACACGTGCAAGAGCATGGGAAAATTATGCAAAGTGAAGGATGGAAGAAGACTGAAGTGAGCAGAAGAGCCAAAAACGAATATGCAAAGCTAAATAGAATGACATGACAAAATCCAAGGCTGAACTGACCCTGCTTCAGTCACATCAGAAGATGACAGTACCAAATCAAACAAAAACTGAAGGGGAGGAGAGCTTACAAGAAACAAAAGTTTGCGTCGAGTTGAACAAACTATTTAAAAAGGTGTTCACAGGGGAAACAGCAAAGAGTCAAGAGACAAAGGAAGCACCAACGGGTACTGAATACCACATACACAGCAAGCAAAGGTAAAAAAAAAATTGGGGGAGGGGGAGAGTTGAATTTCAAAATCATGGGGATCCAACAGTGATACTATGGATTCTTAGAGAGGGAACAGAAACACTGTTTCAACCACTACCTAAAATCTACAGGTCAATGGATACCGAATAACTGGCAGAGATCTGGAAGACTGCGAAAGAAGGTCCAATATTTAAAAAAACGAGACAAACAGGAAGTGTTAAACTACAGACCAATATCAATGACATGCATACCATGTAAAATGATGGAGAAAACTATCAGAAGAGTGAAGGAGCACTTACAGAGAAGTCTTTTCATGAACAATAAACAACAGGGGTTTAGACATGGCTAATCCTGTCTCACAAAGCTCCTGGAATTCTATGACGAAGTAGATGAAGTGGGGCAGCGGAGAGGGATGGGTGGATTGTATGTTCTTGGACTACAAGTGGGGTCCCGCAAGAACGGTGTTAGCACCAGTACAGTTTAAGTGAATGGCATAACATAAGAGTCAGATGTATCCCTGTTTGCAGATGATGGAAAATGAATGAAAATAAAAACCGATGAACACAATGCAAGGCTACAAATGGATCAGGAGAAACTGCAATGGCTAGAAAATGGCTACTTAAATTCAACCAAAGTAAATGCTACAATTTGAAAACTGAGTACAGACTCCGGGGGGGGGGGGGCACTGAGAGATAATCAGGGGATTGAGAGGCAATCAGGCTCGATCCAAGAAAAGGGAGGATATGTCCAAATCCTTGGATCACGAGTCCATTCCCGGCATGAAGGTACGGCTCCTGAGGGAAGATGAGGAACGGGTACCCGAGGGTCTAGCTGGAAGACACGGAAAAGACAATATATATCATGAAGTATTTCTTCAGCATCAGGGTGGCCAGGAAGGAATAACCTCGACGAAACAACAGTGGAGGCAGGCTTTGTACATAGTTTTAAGAATAGATACGAGAAGGGCCCCACGAGTCTTGGAGGAAGTAAATCCGGCAAGAGGCTCAACTAGGAGCGGAGATTCGAACTCGAGAACCTCCATTAGGCTAGTACACACGTGCGCATGCTCTGGCGCTTCCTCATGTAATGCATCTAAATAATACAGTACTGAGACAGTCTTGGCCGGAACAAGCAACAGTGTACACAGTTTTGGCTGGAACAAACATCTACAAGCAGCTGTGTAAATGATAGAATTACATGTTATATATATATATATATATATATATATATATATATATATATATATATATATATATATATATATATATATATATATATATATCACACAAACACTATCAGTTCTCCTGTAATTATATGCGTATCCAAGACCCTCCCAGAAACTCTAATGGACTTTTTTTTTTTTTTTTTTTGGGGGGGGGGGGTCTAGATAATTTACACATGTTAATATGTAATACAACTGTAATCTTAGAAAACTGCAAAACTGTGCCTAAATAATCTTACATAAAAATCAGTAGACTAGATCCATTGCAAAAAAAAAAAAAAAAAAAAAAAAAAAAAAAAAAAAAAAAATGCGCTCATTTGATAACATTTTGTAATACTTATTTTTAAAATGTTTAATATCAAACTGTTTTTGTAAAGTATTTTCATCATATTAGAAAACTAGCCAATACATAATATGAAATATTATCTAAAATATATTTGACAGTTCAATCATATGGAAGAGTAATGAAAATTTGGCAAAGCTGAATATTCAATATATCATTTCGGTCCGGAGGTGAGGGATTGCGAGACCGAGTAATCCATGTGTATACTTACTTGGCATCAAGGCTTAATACACGAGATGCGGAGATACACGTGACAATAAATATGAAAAGATATATGGGTGGAGGAGCTACACCCCGCGCCATCTCAGCTGGTCTGTCACTGACTGCTGCCTCGCCTCACCTCCTGGTAAACATTAGCAGACGACGCACAGGTTCCTTGTTGTCACACAAGATGACTCTGCTCTCCATAGTCTCATAGAAACCGTTATATATCACTAACTCTTCTATTTCGCAAATAACTCTCACTGTAGGAGGAAATTAATGACGATACTTCGGTCCCTCCTGGACCACTGTCTATAGCTCCTGATGGAATGTTGTTTAGCGTCTGGTGCCAGAAGCTCTCGCTACACACGGTGAGGGTCCGGGTTCGATTCCCGGCGAAAGAGTAGAAACATCGGGCGTGTTTCCTTACACCGGTTGTCTATGTTCACCCATCAGTTAAATGGGAACATGGGTGTTAGTCGACTGGTGTGGGTCGCATCCTGGGACAAAACCGACCTAATTTGCCCGAAATGCTCTGCATAACAAGAGACTTTCTATATAGTAGTTATGTCATTGATGTCAGCTAGGCCTGTGCACCTTATGCATGCACTTGTAGTAAATATATTATTATTATTATTATTATTATTATTATTATTATTATTATTATTATTATTATTATTATTATTATTATTATAATCTTGATGGACCGAAGAGTCGTCATAATTTTCCTCTCTTACATGTGGGTTTATTTGTGAATAGTTCCAGCCATTGTGACTTTTATTCAACTATAATAATAATAATAATAATAATAATAATAATAATAATAATAATAATAATAATAATAATAATAATAATATCTTTATTTCTACAAGTACATGTACAAGGTATACAGTCCTAGCTGACATCACTGACATACTACTATATAGAAAGCCTCTTGTTATGCTGAGGATTTCTGGCAAATTATGTCAGTTTTGTCCCAGGATGCGACCCACACCAGTCTACTAACACCCGACTAACACCCAGGTACCCATTTTACTAATGGGAAACATAGACAACCGGTGTAAGAAAACACGCCCAATGTTTCTACCCTCACCGGGAATCGAACCCGGGACTCGCCATGTGAAGCGAGAGATTTAGCCACTATTGTATTTGTTCCACTGCTGCAAGTTAAATAAGTTTATTAAAGTACAGGTACACATAAACAAAGTTACACAAATTATCGAACATAATATATGTGTAAATTACCTCGGACAATTCAAAAAAGCCAAAGTGACCTATTTTCATAGTTGAAGTTCCTTCACATGATCACATTGTCTGCCAGAAATGTTCATAAATGCTACTGACTTTCTTTGTGCTTCACAATATTTTACTACATGTAAATCACACATTACATACTAAGTAAAGAAATAAATTTTTGAATCTGAATTCACTTAAAAAAACTAAACCTGTATAGGTCATTCAGCTCTGCTTACTTTATTACTTACACACAAGTAATAAAGTAACATTTATTCAGGTTTAAAAAAAAAAAACGTAGATTTAAAAAGAAAACGAGTTCAATTTTCATTTTTTTTTTTGGCATTAGGCTCGGTATTATTCCGCTTAGCGCTTTGTTTTGCTTATAATAATAATTATCAGGATTATTCTATTATGTATTACTATTTCATCCATAAGGGAGCACTGGAGTTTTACCTGGAGAGAGTTCCGGGGGACAGCGCCCCCGCGGCCCGGTCTGTGACCAGGCCTCATGGTGGATCAGAGCCTCATCAACCAGGCTGTTACTGCTGGCTGCACGCAATCCAACGTACGAGCCACAGCCCGGTTGGTCAGGTACCGACTTTAGGTGCTTGTCCAGTGCCAGCTTGAAGACTGCCAGGGGTCTGTTGGTAATCCCCCTTATGTATGCTGGGAGGCAGTTGAACAGTCTCGGGCCTCTGACACTTATTGTATGGTCTCTTAACGTGCTAGTGACACTCCTGCTTTTCATTGGGGAGATGTTGCATCGTCTGCCAAGTCTTTTGCTTTCGTAGTGAGTGATTTTCGTGTGCAAGTTCGGTACTAGTCCCTCTAGGATTTTCCAGGTGTATATAATCATGTATCTCTCCCTCCTGCGTTCCAGGGAGTACTAAACCTGTAGGGGTCACACATCGCCTGGGATGGGGGGAAGGGGGGTAAAAGAGGCTAACATGTTTGATTTAAGTAATTTACAAGTCAAAAACCGTTTATTATCCTTCAGTAGTTCACTTCAAGGTCAGCCATGACCTGGCTTTTTCAGGTTACTCTGGGCTATTAATCCAAAAGAAATCCTCTACTGCTTCTTTTCTCCTGCTGCTTCTTTTCTCCTGCTGCTTCTTTTCTCCTGCTGCTTCTTTTCTCCTGCTGCTTCTTTTCTCCTGCTGCTTCTTTTCTCCTGCTGCTTCTTTTCTCCTGCTGCTTCTTTTTTCCTGCTGCTTCTTTTCTCCTGCTGCTTCTTTTCTCCTGCTGCTTCTTTTCTCCTGCTGCTTCTTTTTTCCTGCTGCTTCTTTTCTCCTGCTGCTTCTTTTCTTCTTCTTCGTTATTTTTTCATTGTCTTATTATACTGAAGACACAAGTAAAAAAGATAGCAAGTCTTCTGCTGTCTGTCTTAACAAATATACTCCCACGAACTTTAATTTATTCCCAGGTACTCCATGGTCACAGACCGGGCCGCGGGGGCGTTGACCCCCGGAACTCTCTCCAGGTAAACTCCAGGTACTCCCAGGTACCCCCATATACTCCCACGTACCCCATATACTCCCAGGTACCCCCATATACTCCCAGGTACCCCCATATACTCCCACGTACCCCCATATACTCCCACGTACCCCCATATACTCCCACGTACCCCCATATACTCCCAGGTACCCCCATATACTCCCACGTACCCCCATATACTCCCACGTACCCCCATATACTCCCACGTACCCCCATATACTCCCACGTACCCCCATATACTCCCACGTACCCCCATATACTCCCACGTACCCCCATATACTCCCAGGTACCCCCATATACTCCCAGGTACCCCCATATACTCCCAGGTACCCCCATATACTCCCAGGTACCCCCATATACTCCTAGGTACCCCCATATACTCCCAGGTACCCTCATATACTCCCACGTACCTCCATATACTCCCAGGTACCCCCATATACTCCCACGTACCCCATATACTCCCACGTACCCCATATACTCCCACGTACCCCATATACTCCCAGGTACCCCCATATACTCCCACGTACCCCATATACTCCCACGTACCCCATATACTCCCACGTACCCCATATACTCCCACGTACCCCCATATACTCCCAGGTCCCCCCATATACTCCCAGGTACCCCCATATACTCCCAGGTACCCCCATATACTCCCACGTACCCCATATACTCCCACGTACCCCCATATACTCCCAGGTACCCCCATATACTCCCAGGTACCCCCATATACTCCCACTTACCCCCATATACTCCCACGTACCCCCATATACTCCCAGGTACCCCCATATACTCCCAGGTACCCTCATATACTCCCACGTACCCCCATATACTCCCAGATACCCCATATACTCCCAGTTACCCCGATATACTCCCACGTACCCCCATATACTCCCAGGTACCCCCATATACTCCCAGGTACCCCCATATACTCCCAGGTACCCCCATATACTCCCCAGTAACCCCCATATACTCCCACGTACCCCCATATACTCCCACGTACCTCATATACTCCCACGTACCCCCATATACTCCCACGTACCCCATATACTCCCAGGTACCCCCATATACTCCCCAGTAACCCCCACGTACCCCCATATACTCCCACGTACCCCATATACTCCCACGTACCCCATATACTCCCACGTACCTCCATATACTCCCAGGTACCCCCATATACTCCTAGGTACCCCCATATACTCCTAGGTACCCCCATATACTCCCAGGTACCCCCATATACTCCCAGGTACCCCCATATACTCCCAGGTACCCCCATATACTCCCAGGTACCCCCATATACTCCCAGGTACCCCCATATACTCCCAGGTACCCCCATATACTCCCAGGTACCCCCATATACTCCCAGGTACCCCCATATACTCCCAGGTACCCCCATATACTCCCAGGTACCCCCATATACTCCCAGGTACCCCCATATACTCCCAGGTACCCCCATATACTCCCAGGTACCCCCATATACTCCCAGGTACCCCCATATACTCCCAGGTACCCCCATATACTCCCAGGTACCCCCATATACTCCCAGGTACCACCATATACTCCCAGGTACCCCCATATACTCCCAGGTACCCCCATATACTCCCAGGTACCCCCATATACTCCCAGGTACCCCCATATACTCCCAGGTACCCCCATATACTCCCAGGTACCCCCATATACTCCCAGGTACCCCCATATACTCCCAGGTACCCCCATATACTCCCAGGTACCCCCATATACTCCCAGGTACCCCCATATACTCCCAGGTACCCCCATATACTCCCAGGTACCCCCATATACTCCCAGGTACCCCCATATACTCCCAGGTACCCCCATATACTCCCAGGTACCCCCATATACTCCCAGGTACCCCCATATACTCCCACGTACCCCCATGAGTCTAGACACAGAGATCAAGTATCACAGAATACAGTAAGAGTTCCTCCTCTCCTACAGATGTTAATTACCGTTATGCAAATTCTAAGATAAGAAAGGTAAATTAATCTAGTTTAGGTTACATAAATTTTAGCAAGTCTTGATTAGACTGTTAGATAAGTTATGTTTAAAAAAATCTGCTTATGGAAAATTTGCATAATTTTAGTTGGCTGTTTTCCTTATAAATGGAAAATTATCTTTCCCATTTATTAATATTATTATTATTACTATTATTAGTAGTACTGCTCTTCTTATTATTATTAGTTATTATTGCTATTATTATTATTATTGCTATAATTATTATTACTGTTATCATTATTATTATTACTAGTGGCACGGTGGAAGCAAGAAGCTACCATTAGTGAAGAAGAAGTAATTCCCCTGATTGTCTTTAAAATGTAATCTCCTTGACTGTCTTCCAGAAATAATCCCCTATGTTCAAGAAGTAATCCCCTGACTTTCTTCACGACTGAACCAGA